CACTCCCGGCCGTGCGCCCTTGTGGCGACAACTGTGGAGTCAGCATCAACTGGCACGTGCTGACGGACTACCGAGGCGGGTGGTCGGCCCGAGTCACTCTCTTCAACTGGGATGATGACGCGTTTGCCGACTGGTTCACGGCAGTTGAGCTCAACCGGGGGGGCCCGGGCTTCGAGGCTGCCTACTCGTTCAACGGGACCGCGATGGGCCTTGGGGTCAGTGGGGAAAACGACACGATCTTCATGCAGGGTTTGCCCGGGCTGAACTATTTGGTGGGGGAGGTCGATGGGGAGGGCAGGTCGAGGGGGCTGAGGGTCCCGGGCAAGCAACAGTCGGTGATCTCGTTCACGAAGAGGCGGACACCGGGGATTAACGTGTCGGGAGGGGATGGGTTCCCGACTAAGGTTTATTTCAACGGAGAGGAGTGCTCGTTGCCGGATATAATTCCGACGAGCGGCGTGGGGCGGCTGGTGGGCTCGTCGGTCTTGGCGCAGTTGGTTTTGGGTGTATTGGTTTGTGTTTTCATGCGGCAATAGTGAACCGGAGTGAATACAGCAGGTCTCAGGCGTATGCGTATTTATTTGTTAATTCTTTTTTGTCTGGTTTATATCTGGTAAAAATGATTTGGTGGAGAAGGGTTTTTGTTGGAATGGGGTGATGATGATTCAATTGTTTTGGTCGAAATTCAGGTTGTTGAAGATGATGGACTTTGGAACAGTATTAACGTTGAGTTGTAATATATAGTACTACACACATTGTCTTTCCACTCTAGTGTTTTAGGGAGTGATTGTTTACCATTTTGTACAGTAATTTTTTTTACTCAAATTTAAATTTAACTCAACTTTAATTCAACCACACTATCTTCAATATTATTATATAATTAAATAACATCAAAAAATCATTATTACATATCACATTAACTTTAATTTACTATTCATCTATTCACATAATTTTAACTAATTTTAACTAACTATCACTTCCAATCATTTTCTCTTACTTTTACATCAAATCAACTTTAACTATTTTATTTTAAATATTATTTTAATATCTCCACTAACAATTAATCATACCACTTTTTCTTAAACTTAACCATAATTAAAAAATTCTAGATTTTTTACTATTCAAAACATAAACAATCACCCCCTTAGCCATTGCACGCGGATATTACGGAAAATAATACAAATGTCGTATACTAAAATATTATATGAAATCAAAAATTAGATGATGATAATTATTCTGCATTTGGTTTTCTAATGATATTAAAAAAAAAAAAAAAAACATAAACAATCACCCCCTTAACACTGACGGCTCCTTTGATCGCCACACGAGCATGAGTAGTGCGGGTGGGCTCCTACGTGATGAAGTGGGCCGATGGCTCGGGGGCTTTCTCTTCAATATTGGATCGTGTACTGTGATGGAGGCTGAGTTGTGGGGCATTTTACAGGGACTGCAGCTGGCTTGGGATTTCGCCGGGTGGTGGTCGAAGTTGATAGCCAGAGTGCGACACAGGTCATCTCGAGACCCATGGGCGCTTTTGGGGCCAATGACGCGAGGGTCAGCGCTATTCAAGCCTTACTCAAATATGACTGGACAATCCGGATCCGCCACGTGCATAGAGAAGCGAACTTTGCGGCAGATCACTTGGCAAGGTTGGCGGCGTCCACCCCGCTTGGGCTTCAGCGGGTTACGGCTCCTCCGCCAGGCTTAGCGGAGTGGATGGATCACGACAATAGGGGCGTTTCGTACCCCCAACAAGTGCTAGCTTAGGCTTTCTCTTTTCTTTCATTGCACCAAAAAAAAAAAAATTGAATTTTGGAATTTTGAGTTGCTAACTGGTCATATTAATATAGGGAGATATTACTGTCCCTTTACGGAACCATTCCATCGAGATTTGTAACCGTTAACTCATCTATCCCCGACAGTTACATGATGATCTAACGGTTATAAACTTTGATGGAATATTTCTGTAACGAGATCGTAGCATTTCCTATAAATATATGGATCAATTATCACTACTAGAAACATTGTTATATAAAATATAATCTATATATATATAATTGCTAGCATGTAGTATTTAATAAAACATTTAATAAAACCTCTAAAATTTTCCCTCCATTTTCAGTTACCAAATTTGTCATTAATATTTTTACTTATCACATTAATACATCTTAATGAGTGTAATTATGTATGTTTATATTATATTATATAATAGTTATTGCTAATATCAACTAATAATAATTCACAATAAATATTAATTATATAATTATAAACAATTGTTTCAACTTATGTATTTTAACATCAATATTATCTTTTTCTTTTGTATCTCATAAAAATATTCCTTTAAAAACAATTAGTAAATTGTTTTAATAGCATAAGTTAAACAATTTTAAAATCTTATAAACAATTGTATTTATATAATTGGTAGCTTAGCATTTAATTTTACCTATTTAATATAAAATCGTTAATTTATTTTTCCTAATGATCAAATTTTTGAAAATATAATATGTTAATTATCTAGAATTTTAATATTAAATTTTCAAATATTACTTACTAATATTTTATGTACATCTGTGCATGTGCACAGGATATCTACTAGTGATATATCATTTTGCATCATGAAAATCATTTATTATGATATATTATATAAAATAAGATATACTAAACTAAATAAAATGTTATAAAAGTTGAAAGATTCCAAAAATAGGTGGAAATAAACGTTTGAAAGAATATTGTGAAGACGAGAACAAAAAGGATTTGGAAAAGAGTTGTTCGGGGTATTAAGAATATTTAAAAAAAAAAAGAAAAAAAAAATGGAAAAAAAATGTGGAAATAAGAGAGTGTTCGGGATATTATGAACATAAAAAAAAAAAAGTTGGTTTGTAAAAATTTTATCGTCACTCCACACCTTATATTATATATATATCCGTAGTACAAACATGAATGTGTTACTCAGATACTAAATGATATATATATATATATATATATATATATATATATATATTTTAAATATGTTTTTGTTTTAAAATTTAAATATCGTTTTAAATTTAATTATTATTTATATTTTAAATGACACCAGTCACTTTTACAATTACTAGTAATCACCCGTGCGATGCACGGAAAACTATTATCTATGTGCTTTTTAGAAGACAAATTGTATATAAATTATGTAAACTGAAAAGATCATATATTAATGAACACTTCCCTATATACTACATTATTGGTTTGATTTTTTGGCACGTCATCTTCGCCACAAATTAAGATTTTCATCCATTTTCGGTTAGTGACATGTGAGACAACAACATATAATTGATCATGATTGAACACTGGTTTATGAAGAAATAAGCCAACATGAGATAAGCACTATCATTACATTATATCATTATATAGGCATTGGGGTTGCAGTTGATAATCATTAGAATAATTTAAAATATGAGTTTTAATAAATGGAGACTCTTGTATGATGATATGTGCAATTTAGTTGAGAAGATAAGTCAGTTTGTTGTCAATATATATCAGCTAAATCACACCATACGAATTAACAAACCACGTGCTATTTTAAAGTTGTCATTATCTTATTTTTCCTAATTATCTCCACAATGTAAATCATCACTTATCCTACATATTGTTTCTATATTATCTCTACACAATTAATTATTATTTTTAAACTATTAATTAATAATTTCATAATTAAGAATTAAATTGATAAAAAACTAACCCGTGAAATAAGAAATCATCATTTCTCCTGTACATATTTTTCTTGTTGTTATCTCTAACTAATTAATTATTATCAATAAACATTTAAATATTAATTTAATAATTAAAAATCACATTACACATGATTTTTTAAACAAATTATAAATAATCATTTATCCCGTACCAATTAATTATTATCCCTAAACTTTTGAATAGTAATTTAATAATCAAAAATCACATTGATAAATAACTAACTTGTGATGATATTTTAAACTAATACAGGAATTAAGATGAATTTAAACTAACACACGAATTAACTACCACGTGCAAATTAAAGAATGAGTAGTTGATAACCATTGGATATATTTAAAATGAGTTTTAATAAATTCAAACTCTTGTATGATTATAAGATAAGTACAATTTAATTATGTATGTAAATATTTCGTTGGTAACAATAAAATTAAGTGCAATTTAGATAAGTGCAATTTATTGTTCCAACATTATCTATTCTATGTTAATTATGACTTCAGAATTTCATAATAATTTATTTTTTTCCGTCCAATATTTACAAAAATTTATTAATGTTTTTTTTTCATTAATTTATTTATCTTTTCTAATTAATTAATGTTTTTTTTTCAAATAGGATTACCATTATCTCTTAAATGTGACTTATTCTCATATACTAATTATCTCTCTAATTAATTATGTATTATCTCTTTAATGTAGCTTATCTACATTGGTGTTATTTTTTTATTTAATTAATTAATAATTCAGTTTGTGATTTTTCATCATTGAAAAACTACCAAGTTCAATTTTAAGTCCTCACATATCTACGATTTTTGTTTAATTTATAAATTATTGTAATATAAATATTAATTAAATAAAAATTTATTCAAAAATACATTGTTTAATTCATTTATTATTAATTTCGTAAAATATTTATTTTTATTATAGATATTATATTTAAAATATTTTTTAAAATTTGTATTAATTTGTATCTTATATAATAATGCTATACAAAATTTCAACTACTATACATTAGGAGTATAAAATTAACAGGTAGATTTTTCACATTTTTGAGACATTGAATATTGAAAATAATTAAATTCAACTCATTTTATAAGAATAACAAATAACAAATAACAAATAAAATAACACTAAAATTTCTAATAAAATTCTTGATTGTGCGACATAGATTGAAAAATAAAAATTACAATTATCAAACCCTAAATATCTTAAACCCTGCTCCGTGTTATTGTTGGTGAAAAAAACTAAATATTACCTGTGCATCGTGAAAAAGTATATGCAATGCGTTCAAGCTCTCCCGTTTGTGATGCGTTTCATAATTCGGACTGCTCTCAAACGCAAAAAAGGTTTGTTCCTCCTGTTAACGGAATCGACGGTACCAAAGGGTGGCAGCATTTTTTTTATCGATGTGATGTTATTGTTTTATTGATGGGATGTTATTGTAATTCCTGTATTTTTTTTTTTTTTTTTTTAAATCGATTTATGATGTGAAGGAATAATGGTGCTAGTGATCCTTTTATACTTTTTTTTATGCAAATTTGAATTGACCGAAAATCATTGAGAAGATAATTATGGAGATTCTAATG